TTAATGTTTTTGAATGGAATGATTGTAAAGTTTGGGATGAGCAGGAAAATATGATGAATTTAATGTTATATTTAGGTGGGTGAATGAATTTGTTTCAATATTGGATTGAATGTTATAAACAAAATTGATTGTTCAAAAAAAAAAAAAAAAAAGAATCGGTGACTAACAAATTAGTCGTTGATTGTTTAATGTCTTTTGCGCAAAAAATATTGGTGAGAAAAGTTTTGGCGACTAAAAATTGGTTGCCAAATTCTACACTTTTGTGACTAAAATCAATTGGTCGACAATTCCTTACCTTTTGGCAACTAAATTATTAGTTGGCGATTCCTCAACTTTTGGCGACGAAAATGTTGGTCGCCGATTTTTTGCTTTTGGCGACAAAATATATTTGGTCGGGAAATATCACTTTTCGCGACTAAAGTGTTTTTAGCGACTAAATGAATTAGTCGTGTAATGATATATTTAGCGACCAAAAATTTAGTCGCGCAATCTAACTTTTTCCGACTACAAAAAGTTTTGGTCGCCAATACTTTTGTCGACCCTCAATTGGCGACCAAAAAAATTGGTTGCGAATGACTTTTTGCGACTAAAAATCGACTTTTGCGACCAAATTTATAGTCGGCAAAAGTGTAATTTTTTTAGTAAAATATTGCCGACCAATCTTTTGGTCGTGGAATGTATTGCTAACCAAATTTTTTGGTTGCGGAATGTGACAATTTGCGACCAAATTATTGGTCGTGGAATGGGCGACAAATGCCGACCAAACTACTTTGGTCGTGTGAATGTGCGAAATTGGCGACTAACATGTTTGGTCCAGAAAATTGACTTTTCGTGACGAAGTGTTTTTAGCTACTAAATGGATTAGTCGCAGTAATTATATATTAGCGACCAAAAATTTAGTCGGCAAATATAACTTTTTTGCGACTAAAAAATTTTTTAGTCGCTAATTACTTTCTGCGACCCTCAATTGGCGACCAAAGTGGCGACCAAAAAAATTGATCGCGGATAACTTTTGCCAACTAAAAAATGGGCTTTTGCCGACCAAATTTTTTAGTCGGCAAAAGTGTGAATTCTTGTAGTGCCAGAACCTAGTAGCAAAAGAGCAAGCTAGAATGATTGAAATGCAAAATGAAAGGTTTTGAAGAGATTGAGAAGTTTATGAGGATGTGCAAGGATCATGCAAGCACGTAGGTTGATGAAAGGGATTTATCCATCAAAGAATCCTATTGACAAGCATTTTGTAAGTATATTTTCATAATTTCATTTTCAAATCACTATAAGAACTTCAGCTTAATATATTTGTTAAAACAAACTACTGATTCTGCTCTTGTAATGCCCTGCTATATCAATATACAAAAACATTTCCCCTCGGTTTGTTGCCCCTTTGACATATTGAACGGGATTAGAGAAGTTGCA